TTTCAGCCAGTCTCACAAACAGCTCTACCGCTCGACAAATCAGACGAGTTGCAGTACATGGCCGAATTGCGACAAGAATTACTCACACGTTTTCAGGATTCTTCGTTTTTTCTTGAAGCCAGGGAACCCAGTTGTGAATTTCGGCGCTACACCGATAAATATCGAGTAATCGAAAAAGAGAAATTTTTTCCAGGTGGTAAAATTAATCCTTCCTAAATGTGAAGCATTAATTTCGTTGCATTTGCTTCTTATAATTTTGAACTTCAGCTAGTTTTCGTTACAAATCTCATTCCTGAATTTTCTCGGGCTTTTGAGCAAAATCTTTTCTTTTTCAAGTTATTCTTTTTTAGGCTGGGAATGCCTTCCAGATGAGCTGTGTCCAAAACGAATAAAAGGAGGTGAACCACAGCTAAAGAAACGAAAAACGATGGACGGGGGCGATGACGATGTGTCCAAAAAACTATCCAAGTTGGAGGAAAATGAGAACAACACTGACCAAGAAACTGGTATGCAAGGAGAGGCCGCCGACGACAGTGAGGAAGAAAGTGAAAAAGACGAAATTAACAACGAAAATGAGCAGGTTAATTACTCTCTGTTTTTGTCAGGTAGTGAAAAAATCCCAGTGATATTTTTTTTTCGATTTGCTCATTTACCGGTTAATGTTCTTTTTAACTTTTTATGCGTTATGTGTTGAAAAAGTTGCAAAAAATGCATATTTTCATGCCCCTGTTCGTGTATGTGTTGTGTTCGAGTGCATTTTTTTCCGCATTTTCAACGAAAAAACCAACAATGCTAGGAAGCTAAACCCTGCGTCTCATGCAGGGACACTTTAGAATTTCGGCAGGAAACCACTAATTTAGGAAAGAGGAAGCTTCGAAAGATCGAATTGTTGGAACATCTTCTACATCACATTTGACCCAGATGTTTTAAATTCACCTCCTACGTACACTCAAGTCTTACTTACAGTCACATGAAAGTTTTGACGGGGAATTTTGGTAAATTGAGGACCAAAACAACTAAGAGGCTGAGATTTCAGGAAGATTTCGCCCGCCTGCGCAGAACCTCACAGACACGATTTTAGCTCTTAAGTACACCTAGGCCTCAAATACAGCCATGTAAAGTTTTGGTGCGAAGGTCACTAAAAAAACTCGGAAGCCTAAAAATTACTTCCTGGCCCATGTGCGGTGCAAAGGTTTCAAATTCAGAAATTTTTGAGAGATGTTCCTGGTCTGTGTGCGGTGCAGAGGTTTCAAATTCGGCTTTCACATACACTTTTTACAAATCGGTGCGTGAATTTTTATAAAATAGTGAAAATTCATAAAGACAAACATTTGTGGGACGCGCCGCTGTTTGTTTACATTTAAGCACATTATTTATTGCTAAGTCGGAATTTCGATACGTGGTGTAAGCGGACTTAGGGAGGAAGGGGAAGGAGGGGGCAAAGGATCTTTCGGACACTACTGCTGCAAAAGTGGCACAGACACCAGTGCTACAAAAGCATGGGTTCATTCATAAATAAGTAGTGACACGCAGCAAGGCAATCGGTGCGATCATGCGTTTCGTGCACTTCCGCCCAGCGAACGTATGCCTGCTAAAGATGTTCACTGCTTTGCACATGGGTCTGTGCATAAATAGTCGAAATGTTGCCTAGCGGAATTGCACACCAGAAATTTCGTGCAATGTTACGTGAAATCTGGATTTGAAATCTCGAAAGATGAATATCGTTCCAAATTTTCAACCTTCTAATTTTCTGGCTTTCGATAATTTTTGTGAAAAAAACTTTCACGTGGTCGTGCGTGGGTCCTTGGCATACTTAGAAAATGAATTCGAGTTTGTGAAGCCATTGCTTAGGCAAGGGACATCCGCCTGAAATTTTCAGCCTTCTAGCTCTTCTAGCTCCCGAGACAATGATTTTCTAAGCCAAAACCTTCACGGGGACGTTGGAAATTTGCGGACTCGTACGTGGGCAGGGGTAGCGACGCTAAAATTTCAACTTCTTAGCTTCCGTGGTTCCTCAGATAATAACATTCGTTGTCAAAACTTTCACTAAATCGTACGAAATACCCAGACGCAGAAGAAGGCTGGATTCAAACTTTCGGGGTTTTAGTTGGGCAGGGGGCATTGCCATAAAATTTCAGCTTCTTAGCCTTTGCAGTTCATGAGATAATAACTTCCTTGCCAGAATTTTGACGGGCCGTACGTGGCACCCAGGGATGCGTGAAGGCTGGATCCAAAATTACGAGGTCTTGTGTTGGTAAGGGGCATCACCCTAAAATTTCAGATTCCCAACTTCCTTGGTTCCCGAGATAATTTCCCCGCCAAAATTTGACGGGGCCATAGATGATACCCGAGAACGCTGGATTTGAATTTGGGAGGTCGTACTTGAGCAAAGGGCCATTGCTAAAAAATCTCAGCTTCCTAGGTTTTCTGGTAATCGAGATAATAATTTCCCCGCCAAAAATTCTGTGGGCTTGTACGTGATACCCATAAGCGCGGGACGGCTGAATTTAAATTTGAAAGGCCGCATGTGGACAAGAAACAAACTCCCAAAATTTTAGCTTCGTGGATTCCGTGGTTCCGAAGACAGTAATTTTCCTCGCCTAAAAT